ATTGAGCTCCAGGAGCTCAGATCTGTGAGCTTTATGGCCCCATGTGGCTTGTTCATCCTAGATCTACCCTTTTGAGGCATTTTGCACCCTAAAATCCACATTAGTGAATATCCACACGTAAAGTTGGAAACTTTACGTGTGATTTGTGTCCTAGAAGTCCAGATCTATGAATGGCATGGACTGAAACCGAGTAAATCTGTGTATTTGGTGGATGCATGGCGACGACTCGGCGAGTCGCATAGGTGACTCGGCGAGTCTGGTCGCGAGTCACCGATTTGGTCCCTTCTTCATGTGTCGAGTTGAGCCATGAGTCACAGGGGGTGACTCGGTGAGTTGGAGCTGAACTCACCCATGTTAGGACTCGGCGAGTCAATGCCCTGACTCGGCGAGTCCAAGGCAATCTTCATAGATCAAGAACAGACTCGGCGAGTTGTTCATACAACTCGGCGAGTCTTAGCATAAAGTGTTCATCGGATGAAGATGAACTCGACGAGTTGTTCATGCAACTCGGCGAGTAGGATGAAGGAGTTGAACGACAGTTAGAAGGTGAACTCGTCGAGTCATAGCCCGACTCGACGAGTAGAACCAGGGACCCAGGACATTGGTTTGCTAGGGACTCGGCGAGTGGTGATCCACTCGGCGAGTCGGGTCAACTGAAAGTTGACTCTAGCTTTGGCTTAGAGCTAGACCGGGGGTAAAATGGTCATTTTACCTAAAGGTCAGTTAGCAGTGTTTGATTGAGTATGTTGTGGGAATTGCAGCCGGAGGACTCCCGGAGCAGCAGCAGTCAGTTAGTTCCCGATCAGTTCAGCAGCTACTTTGAGGTGAGTTACCATCCAGTAGCAGTGGGTCTAAGGCCACAATGCCGACCCACCAGTAGGAGATGTATGATAGATGATTGTCTTTGTGATATCATCTAAGTTTGCTACTACCTGATATGTTATATGCTAGCATGATATGTTGTATGTGATAGTAGTAGAGTTTGGTTGTTAGGACCAAAGGGCAGTCAGACACCCCAGATACGTCTGACAGTATGTGATGATATGTTTGCATGACGGCTTGTTATGTTATATGTGATCGTAGTAGTAGGGGGTGAAATAGTCCCCGAGGATCGGTTGTTAGGACCAATGGGTAGTCAGCACCCCAGAATGGCTTGACATGGGTAGTCAGCACCCCAGAATGGCTTGACATGGGTCAGCACCCCAGAATGGCTTGACACGGGTCAGACGGCACCCCAGAATGGCCGTATGGGTAGGTCGGCACCCCAGAATGGCCGTACCGGGTAGTCAGGCACCCCAGAATAGCCTGGCAGTACGTATGTTATGTGTTTGTATGGTATGCGGTACGTTGGGGGAACTCACTAAGCTTTGTGCTTACGTTTACAGTTTTGTTTTCAGGTACCTCTGCATCGAAGGGGAAGGAGCCGGCGCGGTAGCGGCACGTCATACACACACTCTTAGGTTTCCGCATTTATGAGATTTACTGGGATTGTACTCTGATATTTTGATGGGATGTATGGTTTGACTTTTTAGAACATGGTTGCGATGTGTTATGGTGTGAACAAACAATGTTTTTATTTATTAATGTTTTCTAAAGTAATGCCTTAAAATGATATTTTTCGGACGTAAAAATTGGGTCGCTACATAACTCCAACAAAAAGAAAAAGGAATTGGTTTGTTGGAGGTTCAACAGGGTGGGGCATTGCAAACATGATTTTCGTGTGAACTTAGGCAACAACAATAATAATAATGGTATTGGAAACAGTGGAGCCAATGGAAGTGTGAACGGGTCTTTGGGCCAAGTTAAAGTGGTCAGATTTTACTAAATTTGATAATTTTAATCAAAATTATGTTTATTGTGTTTCACTTATTCCTGAATCGTTCTTTGTACAGGATGATGATGTTGCTTGGTGGATCGACTCTTGGGCAACAAACCATGTATGCAAGGATAAACGGTTTTTTGAAACATTAACACCGCTTGAAGATGGATCGGTGCTGAGAATGGGTGACGATTCTTTTATACCTATTTGTGCTATCGGTGTTTTGAGTCTTGAATTTACTTCTGGAAAGACTATTAGACTTTTTGATGTTTTGTTTGTTCCTAAGATTTAAAAGAATCATATTAGTTCTAGTTTTTTTAATTTTGATGGTTTTAAACAAGTTATTGAGTCGAATAAGTTCATCTTATCTCGATGTGGAATGTTTATTGGTTTTGGATATTTAAATAATAGAATGTTTCGTTTGAATATTATTGACAAATTATTACTAGTTCAAAATTCTGCATTTCTATCTTCTACTTCTAATGTTGATATTTCTATGCTTTGGCATGAAAGATTAGGTCAAGTCAATTTTAGAAGGACGCATGAGATGTCAAAAGATAATTTAACTCCAACCTTTGACATGACTTCTGATAATGAAAAACATGCATGCTTACAAAACTGACAAAACAACACTTTCCTAGTGTCACTAGAAATTCGGCTATTTTGGAACTTGTATACAGTGACATGTGTGATTTTCACATGTGTGATTTTCATATCCACTCCTTCCTTGGGAAATAAAAAGTAATGTAGTCACCTTCATTGATGACTACACTTGATTTTTCTATGTGTATTTGTTACATTATAAGGATGAAGCCTTAGATAAATTCAAAATATACAAAACCGAGGTGAAATTGCAATTGGGCAATCCGGTTAAATGTCCCAATACTAATAAGGGAGGTGAATATATGGATCTCGTATACTCCCAATCAGTAAGTATCACCCATGAGACCACGACACCTTACTTACCACAACAGAATAAAATTGTTGAACGCAAAAATCGAGTCTTAAAGGAAATGGTAAACTTGATGTTGTCATACTCAAGGTTGAGTAATGAATTCTGGGGAGAGGCCATGTTAACGACCTGCTATTTATTAAATAGGATTCCAAATAAAAAGAACAAATCAGTCCTATATGAACTTTGGTTCAAGAAAAAGTCGAATATAAGTTATTTTCGTGTTTAGGGATGTCGTGCAGTTGTAAAACTAATCGAGCCTAAAAAGACAATTTTGGGAGAACATGGAATATTGTTGAGTCATTTAGTTGTAAAAGTCGAAGCATTGTTTGTTCTATTTCGCATGTATTTATTTACTAAGTCTTTTTATGTCGAAGCCTAATGTCTAGACTTAGTATTTTTTATACACTCATTTTTCCTATAAATAGGGGTTGACGATAGAAGTAGAAAAACGAGTCTTTCTGCTTATTTTGTAATCAGTATTGTATTAGAATTATCTATTCAATACAAATTTGCTGATTAATATTTACATTTGGTGTTCATATCATTCATTACTCATTCATCTAGATCATGATTGCTTTCTAAATCTCGATTACAATTCTCATCAATTGGTATCAGAGCGAGTGTTCTTGATTCAATCAAGAATTGATCCTTGATGGCAAATTCTAAATCTTGGTGTTGGTTTTATTTTTCTTGCATATAGAACTCATCCCACATCGACGCTGAGGCTAAAACCCAACCACAATTCTCTATTATAAAAGAGATGCAACATCATCTCTTTTAAAATTTAATTGAGATCCGTCCCATTTCGAGCTAAGATCAAACTCAAACACACATATCTCCCTCTATATAATCAAATCTTGGGATTTAGCTTAGTCATAGTTAATATTTTAAAACTTAGGTTTAGGTTGTCCGGTTTCAAAACTTATCAAACCCGCAAACAAACTAGTAAAACCAAAAACCGACCCATCGGGTTTGGTTGGGTTGGATTCTAATTTTCTTAAAACCGATAATTCAGTTTTGGGTTCGATTGTAGGTCAAAACCGACCCAAACCACCAATGCTCACCCTAATCTAAACAATAATACGGTGGACTCATGAAAGGAAAATCCAAATTCCGGTGACAATATGCCTTTAAGTCCGAGTTTTACACAATTACCCCTTGACTTTGCCATAATGACAGTTTAGCCCCTCATCTGTAACTACTTTTCAAAGAAAGTTTCAAAGTGCACCTTTTTGGTCCCTCACATAAAAAATCTTTAGTTTTCATTTGATTAATTATTTTAATTAGCTACTGATGATTATTAATCATATTTAATTAAATGCATTTATACCACTATTCCATCAATAAAAAAAAAAAAAAAGCAAAACGGGAAGTTATAATAGAATATGTTCTAAATAATCTAAATGGTGCTCATTCGGTGATTCCACTTCATAAGGTATGTGGGTCCTGGGATACATGAATTTGATGGTTAACAAGGTATGCAAAAATAAATAAATAAATAACCGAAACTACACAAAAAAATCAAATAACTACAAAATAATAATAATAATAATAATAATAATAATAATAATAATAATAATAATAAACTTATTTGTTTTTGTTTTTGGCTTTTAGAAAAATGATTTTGTTGGCTTATTTTTGTAATTTTGTTTTTTATATAAAAAAAACAACAAACAAAATTATGTCATTTAATGTATTTGTTTTTGTTAAATTTTAGCCACATTTGTATGAAAAAACCCATGAATATGAAAATAAAAAACAAAAACAAACACTGAAAAAGCCAAGCAAAAAAAATGAGGAACCAAAATCGAAAAACCTATGGTTTGATATTTCTGAAGCCAAAAACAAAATATTCGTTTTGGTTTTGGTTTTAGTAAACATCCCCTTCATGGTTTAGGTTTTTGTATTGTGAAATAAATTGGTTTTCTTAAAAATGATGTTTTTGAAAAGTTTTTTCTGAACACTCTATATGTGAGTTTTTTGCAAAGAAACTAAAATAAAAATAAAGCAGTCAGATAAAAATGTGAAAATTTAGTGATTTTTCTAAAAAAAAAAAAAATCCTTTTGCTACATCTTAAGCTCTTAACAACTTCCTACAAATGATGAATTTTGCATTATTAGCCATCACAGTCAATCATACATTTTTTTCCCTTCGCGAAATGCAAATAAATTTCAAGAAAAATGCACTCTTCAATATGTTAAGTGGAAAGTAGAAAGCTTGTCATCCATAAACTTTCAAGTTTATTTCCAAAAGATCAATTCAACAATACACAAATAAAATTAATCCTCATAACTCACATAAACCTATAAGCATCAACAAAAAGAACATAGAAACATTCATAATAATCATATACCACAAGCCAAATTTAGATCTTGACCTAGTAATCAAAGAAAGGGTTGTTCTTGAACAACCTATCATTACTATTTCTATTTTTAGAAACTCGAACACTTCGATCATCTTTCTGGGATCCAAAACCCGATGAAACTCGACCCGTATCCGCAAAAAGATTAGGGTGACAATTTTCATCATCTTCTTCATCAAAAGTTGTCCATTTTGTCTCCAAACTCTTTTGCTCTTCCTTCTTCATAACAAAACATGTGTTCTTAATCTCCGAACTCTTTTGTTCTTCTTCCTTCTTCATAGCAGAACATGTGTTCTTGATCTCTTGAACATGATCCTTAAACTCTTTTCTCACCACTTCCAACACAATTTCTCCATATTGATCACACCATTTCCTAAAATTCCCATGAAAATTATCAAAAATTGGTGAAAGATAACTGAATTTTTCAAAAAGTTTGATTTTTTTACTTACTTGGAGAAAAACTTTTTCAAGTCAGCTTTATCGATGGGAAGCCTAGTCGAAATCACATCAATTTTATCATCACTGAAATTTTCGGATCATTGAGTTATTTATTTTCATAAGTTTTACAAAAAAAAAAAAAAATCTCAAAATTTATTTTTCTTACGATAATTGAAGCTCTCCTTTGACTTTTAGTAGCTCCTCCTTGATTTTATCTCCTAGAACCTGAGGAAATGATCGCATAAGCACAAGAATATAAATGCAATTTCAATTATGTGTGTATAATAACATCTTTTATTTTTTCTACTCGATCACTTTACTAAAAAAATTAAACCAAATTGTTCTATTAAATTACCTTATCAACAAAGAAATCACCCGATGAGCCATCCGTATGTAGTTTTCTCTTGATTTTTGTATCTTGTCCCTCTCCAACTCCTAAACATTTTTCATTAATCGAATCATTTAGTGATAAAGGAATCGTATCTTTCTCCAAATCATCACTCTTCTTCCATTTCATAAAACCATTAAACCCCCTCCTTTTCCCCTTCTTCGATGACGAATCCTCAATCACCACACTCTCGGACATCAAAATTGTCGGTTTTTCTTCATCTTTTTCTTTCATTTCACAATTCCAAAATGGGTTTTCTTGAGATACTCCAAGATTCTGAATACTCATATCAGAAATAACACTCTTATCTTTATCGTTTTTGTTTGATGATGAAGATGATGATGAAAGACCAAGAATTGATGCAGTTCCTTTGACTTGTTTGATTGTTGACTTTTGTGGCTTTGACTTGTTTTTGGAGCCAGAGTCTTGTAAGTCAATTACAGACCATTCGTCGTTCGGGTTTCTTTGTTGTGATCCAGCAATGACTATGTCTTTTGGGTTGATTTTGGCTCCTTGAGCTGAAAGTCTTTGCACCAATGGAGTTTTTGATGTATGATACTCCTCTTCTGATATACAGTTTGCATATAACAACTCCTGTAACCAAAATGAAGAAGAAAAAAAATCAACAAAAAACCCAAATTGCAGTTTGTTCGATCTTGAAAGTGATACACAATTATCCATCAAGGAGATGATAATTTAACTCAAAATGAAAAAGATATCATCTTTTTGAGATCCAGAAAACCCAAATCACAGTTTGTTTAAATCTATCCAAAAATTGAAACAGAGATCGATTTTTTCAAAACCCAGATCATAACTTGTTCAATTCTTAACACAATTATAATCATTCAATAAGAATATACAAATTCACCTAACATGAGAAAGAAATCATACTTTTTAACCTAAAAAAACTACAATTTCCCACAAAAATTATGCAGATTAAACTTGTCGGAAATAAAATATCTAAAAACTACGAGAAGTTTAAGTTCTAACCTGTAAGAAGATCAGTTTATCTCTGAGAATCACAGGCTGTTCGTGATCAAAAGGTGAAGAAATAAGAGTGTCAAGAAGATGAGCCCTAAAAGCAGAAACCTCAGCCTCAGCCAAAATACCTTCGTTAAACAAACCCATCAAATTCAAGATCTGATGGAAAGATTCCTGCTGCCATTTTAAGTTATCAGATTGTTGCTTCCATAGTCTCTGTTCAGCAGCAGCAATGGCGGGCAACCTTCGTTTCTTGAAGGAGAAAGGGAGGATGTTCTTGCAAATAGAAGCGATTGAATCTTGAACAGAAGAGTAGTACGTGGGTTTGTATGTGTACACCATTTTTTTTTCTTGCGATCGATCTTTTTTTTTTTTTTTTCCTTTTTTGAAGAATTTGGGAGTGATTGAAGTTTGTTGTTGGAATCTGATATGTATATGAATAAAAATGGAAGAGACGTTTGGTGATTGATGATTGATGATGATGATGATGAAAGAATGTGGTTTTTGTCAAATGATGTTGAGCTTTTTCGGTGTTTCTTGAACGGTCACCATGGGAACTAGCCGTTGAGAGGGTTTAAAGGTTCAAAACGGTAATGTGGGAATGAAAACGACGTCGTGGGTTTCAGAATTGGCCCAATTTAGTAACTATTGAACTTTTCCGTTGTATACAGTTTTTACGATTTTGGGCCATTGACATTTGAATTTTATTTAGATCGATTTTGAATTTAAATCAGGGAAATGAATAAATATATTATCCATGTTTCTATTTCTATATTTTTAATATGTTGAATAACTAAAAAAATTACATGTATGTATGAGTCTCATTTTTTTAGTTAATTTTCTGCTAAAGTACACTTCTTAAAATTCAATCATGTCATATATCATCATAACCCAAAATGCGATAATGGTATCAGAGGTTTTAACTGCTTTTATGAGTTTAAATCAAGTTTGTATTCCGAGTCCGATGGCATCTTTTTTGCATGTATTTTGGTTTGTGAATATGTGTTCACAAGTAAAAAGTACATGTATATGAAATAAGAAATTATGTAATTTTTTTTTATATTAAACCCATCACTCATGTTTGATTATGTAGCTATAAATTGTCATAAAAAATGAGCTTTGAATCTTAAAGATTTCAATCTTGATTTGGTATGCTGTTAAGAAAATTGAGTATAAGAGAAAAGTACAAAATTAGCCTAGTCTTCTAAATTTTTATCAAGAAATAACCAAGAAGTTAAAAAATTACTCATATAGCCTCATGGATCTTCATGGTTTGAGATTTCGAAATTTGGATTGTGAGTTTGGGGGTTACACCTGTAATTTCATAGAAATTTTAAAAAAAATCTAATTTTGCCCTTGATTAAATCTCAAATGACATTTGGCAATAAACGATTTCATTTTTCTGATTTGTAATTTTTTCTTCTCAAATGTACAAATGTCTAATGCATAGACACTTGTACAATCACATTTATGTAAAATTGAGGATAATTTTTTTTTTTCAAACTTTAAATATTATTGACTCACGGGCTTGGTTCTAATGAAATTATTCCATAAGATAATCACAACCAATTATAGCCAAATTGGAGCTCATTAAATGTCACTTAGCGAATTCAATAGATAATTGGATCATTTCTATTTTCGGCTATTTTTTTTAAACTAAAATATATATAATTAGGCTAAATCAGTCTGTGCCAAATTTTGAAGTCTTCTTATGAAGATAATGAAAAGACAATAATACCCTCTTATGAGTTGGCCATTTTGCCGGCTCCTCCCTTTCTTAGTTGTTAGTTGTTTCCCACTAAATTTTCAAAATCTTTGTTGTTTGATTCTTCAGCCGTCCAAAAAAAAAACACACACACTCACACACCCTATAAAACACACACAAACAAAAAAACACACACCAAAACCAATGCAAAACCACCATTAATAATAATGGAACACGAACAACAAAGCAATCACATCTCCAATGACTACTACAACTCCGACAACGAAGAGGCTGTTTCCGGCAACAAATGCGGTTGTTTCCACCTTTTCTCTTACTTCAATTACCACCACCATGATGGAGAAACAGCGGTGTTCATCCACCATAGGTTGGGAGAAAGAGACATTGGAGACAAAAACAGTTGGTTGATGAATCGATTCAAGAGATTTAGAGAGTTTTCAGAGGTGATTGCGGGGCCTAAATGGAAGAACTTCATTAGAAAGTTTAGTAAGAAACCGAGAAAAGGGAATTCTTCTCCTTTTCAATATGATCCTGAGAGTTATGCACTTAATTTTAATGATAGTGTTGGTGATGAAAGTGATTATGATTGTTCGTTGCCTCGTAGTTTCTCCACGAGATTTGCTCCTCATTCGGGTTCCATGGCTAGTTAGTGTTTTTTACGATTTTGTTTTCCTTGTAAAATACTTAAGTATGAGAAATTTATATTAGTTTATTGATTTATTGTCATTCCTCTCTAATGCATATGTGTACTCATATAATTGTATGCAAAATGATGTGTCAAAACCCAATCCCAATGATGGGACATGTCAAAACCCAATCCCAAACTTCCTTTTGCCACTTTATTTATGATAGCATCCTACTTTTAATTTTTCCAAATAAAACGTAGTTTTAAAAATCTAAAGGGGGTTTTTGGCTTAACTTTTCAAATCCAAAAGTCATTTTTGAAAAAGGAAAAAAAAAAAAACAAAACAAAAGATGTTTGGTAAAGCTAGTTTTAAAGTTAATTTTTGAGTTTTTATACAAGGAAAATGAACTTTTTGAAAAAATCAGAAAATTCTGATTTTTTGTAACTTTTTCAAAAAAGATTTTTGTGCTTTTAAAAGTTAAGTTAAACACTCCTAAATACGGTTTTGTGATAAAAATATAAATTTACACAATTGGTCCTTGTGATTGGTAAAAAATGCCACTACAAGTACTTTTTAGGAAAGTTTATTATTATTGGTCCTTTTCAAGTTTAAAACGCACAAGATGGGTCATCATTTTATGCCAACCACAACGACCCATCGTGCTTGCTTTAAACCTGAAAATGACCAACTATGTTAAAAACTCCTCATAAGGACTTGCAGTGGTATTTTCTACCAAGCACAAGGACCATTTGTATAATTTTATCTAACAAAAATGAATGAAAAAGAGTATGCTACAGCACACAATAAGCTAAATCCTAATCCCCAAATTCAAAAAATAAAAAAAGTATAGAACCTTAAAGTTGATAAATTACATAACATAAAAATGTTAAACTTTATGTAAATTTACACCACATTAGGTACATATCTCATTTACATTTGAGAAACATGATACATTTAACAATTAATTATCCGGATATGAAAAAAAATACGAGTGTGCCATTGAGTGATTTATTTAAGGTAGTGATGGGGAAAGAGTAGGCTTTGTGACTTTAAGTTCACCACAGTTGCTGATATACAAAGTCTTTTGAGGCCTATCCCAAATTGCACGTGCATTTTTAGCTCTTCCATCTCCAAGAAACTCTGCCAAATCATTATATTGTCGAATTCTTTCCCCTGGTTTGTATGTTGGAATTGAAGATATACTTGCCACCACATCCATACCTATAACAAAAATATTACTATTAATAACAACCTTCTTTTATTTGTTTGTGTACTATGTAGCATTGTACTATAATGATTACGATTGAGAAGGGTATATATGTCTTTTAACAAAACAACCTCACACATTACACAACCCTAATCATGATGCCAAAGTGAATATATGCTTAGTAGATCTAACTTGAATATCATAGTTAGTACTAGAAATCTTGCAAAAGCAGTAGGAAATCTGAATCAAAGTTCCAATTCCAATCCTTAACTTCTATGGCATAATACTGAAATTAACGAAATGGGTTTCAATTCCTTTCCTACAACAATGGTTTTAAACACGAATTTAATCAAATGTTTAAGAGAATTGAAGTTACCTTCAAGAACAGAACCAAAAACGATATTTCTACCATCAAGATCAGGGCAAGGACCAGGGCCAGTTGTGATCATGAACTCCACATTATGATAATTCGGATCAAGTTTAATATCGTCGTCGTCGTCGTTTTCCGATAAACAGAGTGATAAAACGCCGCCCTTTGTGTGCCCTAATTGGAAAGCCTTGGGGTCGATACTCTCTGTATTTCTAACCAAACCTACCGGCGGCTTAACTTCTCCTTTATCCCTCCGTCCTTGATGCCCCGCCATAAAAAACCGACCGGGAAAGATCTTCTGGATTAGCGTTCCTTTATAGTACCCAGAGACGCCGGTGCACATGGATTTGAAATTGGATACGGTGATTGGGACGAGGTTGCCGTAGAGGCCGAGGACGATGCGGCCGACGGGTTCGGTATCGGGACAGAGGGCGAGATCTGATCCTAGGGTTCGGGTTTGGAAGTAGCTAGGGCAGATACTGAAGTCCATGAAGACGCGGTCAGTAATGGTGGTGTCAGGTTGTTTTTGAGGTGGTGAGGCTATGGAGAGGGAGGGGAGGGAGAGAGCGGTGGTGGTGGAGGAGAGGAAGAGAAGAGAGCGGCGGTGAAGGTGGAGTTTGGAGAGAGGGGCAGATGGAGGAGGGTAAGGAGGGAGCGTGGCGGAGGTAGTGGTGGTTGTAGTTGAGCAGCCCATGGTGACGACGGAGCATGACGGAAGGAGGTGGGGGAAAGGACGAGTTGATATGTAGGTGTGATTTTGTGTGTTCCTGGATAATACACGGTCATCCGAGTGGGGCCACTTGCAAAAGTACTTTTATGGATTTTTACTTAGTTAAGTTATTAGGATGTAATAGGAATCAAACGGCAACTAAAATAAGCGAAGACCGATTAAAGAGTAAATCATGAACCAAAATAACCGGTTTTGATTTGTTTTATTAGGAAGTGTTCTGTCAAAAAAGGTGTATGGTACCCAAACCTGACCGCACTCGAAATAACCAAAAGCTGAAAATTATGGATTTGAGAATCAGGAACCAATACTACTAATTTGTTCCAACCGGTCCGGTTACAGTTCGGTTTTACTGTTAAAAAAACTAATACATATGACTTACTTGCTCTTTGTTTTTTAAGAGATAAATGACTATAGTATGCAAACCATATTTGTAGAAGATGTTTGTTTTTAAAATTTGTAGGATATAGAAACGATATTAAACCAAATTGGTCATAGATGATATTAAACAAACAAACTATATATACATACATATATTAACCACATTGATTTCTAGATGATAGTTAAAAATGATGGCGATATGGGGTGAGGATGGTGGTGATAAACATGGCGACGACGATGGTGGTGGTCGTGATGGCGAAGGGAGTGATAGTGTTGGCGTAGGTGGAAGTGTTGGAGGTGGAGGAAAACGGTGGTAACGGTGGTGGTGACGGCAGGTGTGGAGGATGCGGTGGTGGTGGCGGCGATGACAGAGGTGGAGGTGGTGGTTGTTGAGGTGGCGGAGGGGTAAAG